GCTGCGCGCGCCTGGCTAAATTTATTTAATTATTTTTATTTATTTTGGTTTTTTGAGACAGGGTTTCTCTTCGACAGTCCTGGCTGTTCTGGAACTCTCTCTGTAGAACAGGCTAGCCTATAAACTCGTAGAGATCCGCCTGCCTCTGCCTCCCAAGTGCTAGGATTAAAGGCGTGCGCCACCAGCACCTGGCTTAAATTTTATTTTTTATTGTATGTATTTGGATGATCTGCCAGTGTGTATGTGCAGTACCAGCAGAGGCCAGGAGAGGGCATCAGATCCCTTGGAACTGAAATTGGAGACAGTGGGTTTTGTTTTGTTTTGTTTTGTTTTGTTTTGTTTTGTTTTGTTTTGAATTGCGGGCATTTCTCCTGTGTATATTATTCTGCACCACATTCTGCCTGGTGCCTGTGGAGGACAGAAGAGGGTGTTGGGTCCCCAAGGACTGGAGTTACAGACAGTTGTCAGCTGCCGTGTGGGTGCTGTATATCAAACCAGGGCCCTCTCCTATGCCTACTGTTTCCATCCATACCTCATAACTAATCCCCAAACAGTAATAGGTACTTTTGCCTTTCTCAAGTCTGTCCCTAAGCCCTGTGCTCTCCATTCGAAGGCTGGATACGCACGGTTCTTTGCTCAAATGTTGACTGATACCTCGGGATGCTTTTCTTCCGTTGGAGTTTCAAGGCAGATGTGGGAAGAAATAGACGGCCCAGACAGCAATGGCTCCTGGTCCCTGTGAGAATAGCTCATTTTCCCCTGGAAACAAAAGGAAGGGAAAAAGCTGACCTATGTCCTGATTCCAGGAACCCCTCAAAATATCATTACTGTGTTATTTCCGCTGCCCCAGGTGACCGCTGCTATTATTGACCACGGAGAATGCTGGCTGGCTGTCCTGTTTTTCAGTCCTAGCGCATTGAGCTATGTGTGGCTCCCACGGAGGCTTTCTTTAGTGGATGTGAGGATAGACTCCGGCTTGTTTTGTTTTTCTTGGGAATGTGCAGATTGACTTTTCTTGTTTGGGCACACCAAGGTGGAAGCTGTTAACTGCTAAATAAGAGCTGGCGGGGGAGGGGGGGCAGCAGGGGGAGGCTGCAGGAAGCTCCGACATCGAGCAAAACCTCTGGGCTAATTTTAGGGCGTGCACTTAGAAAACCGCCGGGACTGCTTTTCTCGAAGCATCCAGACCATAGTAGTTCAGTTTTAAAGATGCAGTTCTCCGTTTGGTATTCTTCCCGTTAGTAAGCTAGATACACTGGCATTTAAGAAAAACATACGCAGACTGAGCAGGTAGCTTGGTAGAGTGTTTGCCTATCCGGTACAAAGCTCTGGGTTTGATCCTTCACACAGCATAAGCCCAACACGCTGGTACATGCCTGTAAATCCCAGCATTTGAGAGGTGGGGGCAGGAGGACCAGAAGTTTAAGGTCCTTCTTGGCTACGTGGACATAGAAAATCTTTTCTCGGGTGTGAAAAGGAAAGAGTTTAGAGTGGTGGATTGAGGGTGGCAACCTTTCAATAAAGCAGTATTTATTAATCAAGAACACGTAATACATGCAAACCCTCTTACACATTATGTCTGTGTGCCATTCGCCCGCCTGGTGCCTGTAGAAGTCAGAAGATGGTATTAGGTCCTCTGAACTGGAGTTCCAGGTAGGTGTGACCCACCATGTGGGTGCTGGGAATTGAACCCGGGTCCTCTGGAAGAGCAACCAGTGCTCTTAACCGGTAATCCTTCTCTCCCGACCCAGTAAAAAGAAACCTTTTTTTCTTTTCAATCTTTTTTTTTTCTTTTGTCACAGGTCTCAAACTCAGATTCTCCCGCCTCTGCCTCCCGGGTACTGGAATTTAAGGCGTGTACTGCCACACCCAGCTGTCTTTTTACCATTTTTATCAACGCACTATCTATTATTATTACTGTGTAATCATAGGTTGTCAATGCATTGCTTCAAGGTTTTATGTGTTTATCTGCACACATATAAACGTAAGTGTGCTAAAACGTTCTAGCTCAGATTAAGAATTTCAGCAGTCACATTCCACCAGGGAATCCTTTATCTAGAGATAGCCCCACCTCATAAACGTCCACACCACCCCACAGTGGACTTTCTTGCCGTCAGGTTGCTGAATAAGAACGGCGGCGTTTGTCAGCATCTCCTATGGATGAAAAGGCTCCAAGAAGGTTTTGAAATCTCTGGTGAATAGAGGCTTGGAAAGTGAAGAGACATTTTGTACTTGAAACAGAAAGCAGGTTGTGAAGTGAGTGGTTCAGAGTCCTGCTTGGTTGATCAAGCCTGTGGAAGCTGCAGTTTGCTTCGCTGGCAGTGACTACGGGGTCACAGATAACCTGCAGGACTCTCCTTCCATCATGTGGGTCCTACTGGGTCACATAACCTCCAGGAGTCATCCCCTTCCATCTTGTGGGTCTTGGGGACAGACTTAAGGTCATCAAGCTTGGCAGCAAACGCCTTTACCTGTTGAACCATCTCCCTGGGCCACTAGATTGTCATCATCATGCATTGTATGTATATGCTAGTAGGTTTGCAATGATGTTTCATACGAGGCACAAGTATATTCCGGTCATGTCCACTACCACATAAGACACCTCTCTCTCTTGTCCCCCCCCCTCATTCTTGTCAATCTCCTATATTTCCTTTTTAACACAAAGCATGATGTTCCTAAGTAGTAAAAACCAACACATAGGGTGAGGGGGTCATGTGAGCCAGTTTATTCTTTGTGGATCCACTCAAATCATAGTCTCCCTTCTGTGCCGAAGACTTGCTGGAAGGTCTCGCCTTAGAGGTGTCTATTAGCTTTCTAAGGAAATTCCAATTAGGCGTTTGCTCCAGGGGCTTGTTAGGCCTTTAAAGGTGTTAATCATACTCTTGGTGCTTTCTGAGTTGAGACATGGGAAATGATTTTACATGTGCAGGCGGACTTTGAACCACTGTTAGTTCTTAGGAAGATACCTAGAGAGCGGAGTGGTGTAGGCCGTGGGGCTTGTGGCCCAGAAGTGGCTGAAGTCACAGCCTGTAAGGTCCAACAGTAGGCTTTTGGGGGCCGTTTGACTCTGGCGGAAATCTTAAGTTAGAGAGGATTTAGGCACAGTTCAAAAAATTTTAATTGACATCATTTATTTGTGTGTGAGTGTTTATCTGTGTGTGTGCACGTGTGCGCACACATGCACACACATGTCACAGAGCAGAAGTCAGAGCACAGTGTGGCCTTTTCTCCACCAGGGAGTCGTGGAGGCGGAACTCAGGTCGTCAGGTCAAATGACTGTGCTCAGTCGGAGCTGATGGCACAGTAACCCTTTAGCATGTTTTGCGTATTTCCTTTTTTTTTTTTTTTTTTTTTTTTTTGGATTTTTCGAGACAGGGTTTCTCCGTAGCTTTTGGTTCCTGTCCTGGAACTAGCTCTTGTAGACCAGGCTGGCCTCGAACTCACAGAGATTTCCCCTGCCTCTGCCTCCCAAGTGCTGGGATTAAAGGCATGGCGCCACCACCGCCTGGCTGCGTATTTCCTTTTTTAAAGCCTGACTTTCCCTCAGCCTTCTCCTTTCTGTTCGTTCATTCACATCTGAGTATTGCCTTTTCCTTGTCTGTTGATGGCCTTGCCATCCGCCAGGGCCCTTAAAAGTGTACTTTGTCATGTCAGAAACTGCAGAGGGTTTTATTTCTAAACGTACAACTTACTCAATTTATTTTCTAGTCATGTCCTTCTGCACAATTTTCATTTATCACTTGGGAACATGATTAAGGGATGTGTGAACTGCTTCTTTGCTCACTGACTGTCTTTTCCTGAAAATTCTGCAAACTGCCCGGTATGGTGCGAGCCCAGGGCAGAGGCTCTGATGCTGACGATGGAGAGTTCATCTTCACTAGCCTCCGAATTAGACAGCTTTTCCCCAAGCCACGGGAGAAGTGGGAAGGAAAGAATGAGCAGCACCCTGGGTATAGCCTGGAGAGCTGACCCAGGAGCGCCCGTCAGCACTGTGGCCGGCAAGGCTGTCCTTGTCCGACTGGCTTGACCTAGAAAACACTTCCAGGGCATGGGGGGGTGGGGAATCACAAAACAAAACAAACAAGATGCCTGTCTCTTGACTGGAGAGATGGCTCAGTGGTTTGGAGTACTGGCTGTTCTTGCAGAGGCCACAGGTTCCATTCCTGGTGTCTACATGGTAGCTCGTGACCACCTGTATGTAACTCCACTTCCAGAGCACCCAATGCCCTCTTGTGCCCTCCAAGGGCACCAAGCATGCATGTAGTTACAGTGCACAGACATATGTGCAAGCAAAACACCTGTGCACAGTAAATTAGCATTAAAAATGTGTCCTGCTAAGATCATAGAACATTTTTTTTTCATAGAACATTTTTATTTTAAATATAAGTAGTTTCAAGACTAAGTATAGTTCAGAGTTCCATTGCCGTGGTTTCATGAGGAGGGGATGTAGACGTGTGTACATGCATGTTCACATGCGTGTGGATGCCAGAGGTTGGTATCATGTCTTTCTCTATCTCCTTTCATTTTGAGTCAAAGTCTCTCACTCTGCTCAAAGCTCAAGAGGGTTAGACTAGGTGGCCAGTGAGCTTTAGAGGTCTGCTTGGCTTTTCGTGCGTGTTTTGGGGATCTCAATTCAGGCCTCCTGCTTGCATGGCAGGCACTTTCCCAACTAACTGAGCATCTCCTCAGCCCCAACTGAGACTTCTTTAGGGCCCCCGGATAAAGGGAAGGTTATCCTTCCGACATCTCTGACAAGAATCAAACAGCGCGTAAATGTGGCTATGTAAGTGGTGTTTGCTGCTTTGTTCTGAGGAACTCCTGAGTGTGAGAAGTTTTCCACATCAGCCTTCAGAATAGCTAGCATTGCACACGTGCACCGCCGCCTGTGGCCTTGGGTAGTATTTGTTTTAACCAACACGTACCACTTATTCTGGTTTCGTGCACGAAAAGAGTTTATCGTCAAAGCTGTTTAGTCTAACAACATCAACAAAGCCTTAAACTGTGATAAATTGAAGAAAATTAAACTTTATTGCAGATCCCGTGAAGCCCCTTGGCAGCTCCTCGCAAGCACCAGTTGATTCACCTTTCCCTCTGAATACAGCACCAGCCTCCGCCCAGCTGGAAGCCTCTTCCTCAGCAGCGCTACCTCCTTCTTACCAGCTCATCAGCCTCCCGCCACACCCAGACACTCTAGGCCTCCAGGATGACCCCCAGGACTACCTCTTGTTGATCAACTGTCAGAGCAAGAAGCCTGAACCCACCAGGTACATGATACATGCCATCATGTGTGTGTGTGTGTGTGAATGGGTGTGAGTGGGTGCATGCATGTACACATATGTACACGTGTGTGTGTAGAATTTAAAAGCCTAGCTTACATGAAACCATCTCAGTAGGCTTACACTGCAGGTTTGTATTATAGGTTTGTTAATGATTTCCGTTACCTGGGAGGTCTCTTGTTGATAAAACCGTTTCTGCCATCATGGCCGATCACAGTGTTTCTACAAGGCTCTTTTGGAAAGAGCCTCGCAGTTTTTGTTACTTGCTTGACAGATGTCACTGACTTGTGAATGGTGATCTTGCTCCATTTCTTATGTGATTATAAACCAGACAAGGGTCATCTTTTGTTTCTGAAGAAGGAGAGAAGTACCTACTACTAGAAGATTTTGAAAGCAAACCGATCCCATTGCAGTGAGTGTGCTGTGATTTTGGATCTGTGTGAGAAACTAATCGCGCAGGTAAAATCCCAATATGGCAAATCCTAGAGGCTAGGTGGACTGGGGGGGGAGGCAATGACGTTTCGTGAAATCAGATAGACTACTAAAAGCTGTGACCCTTTCAGACCTTTCTCCCCAGACATGGAGGGAGCAGGTGCTGACCTCCAAGCCTCGATTTTACAGGTTTTTAAGTAGAAACCTATGGAGTGTATGACTGACCCAGAGGGTCCAGAAAGCCTTTCCCCAATGCTTGGTACGGGGGTCATCACCCCCTCCGCACAAATTCCCCGTTCTGTAATCCCAAAGGTATTTTAAATCGGTCATCGTTGGCTTTTGGGGATTTAGAAGGCATAAAGCGGCAGAGGAGGTCAGAGCACAGTTATTTCACTGCCTGGGAAAGGAACAGGAAAATGAAGATCAGTAGCAGGCCAGTGTCTGCTGCCTGTGGCCTGTGGCCGCCGGTGACAGCACTACCAGCTGGTGCATTGATTCCCAGGACAAAAGTGGCAGTGACCTGCAGAGCGCACACAGGATGTTTATAAACCCGCGTGCTGAGGAGGTCAAGCTCTATTGTCTTTATAACAAAAGCGTTTCTTTTCTCAGTGTTAAGAAAGTGATCGTTGATTAGAATAGTGTTTGGGAGAATACTTGTTATGTAGAACCTGTAGAGTGTAGTGGCAGATGCCTTAAATCCCAGCACTCGGGAGGCAGAGGCAGGTGGATCTCTGAGCTCGAGGCCAGCCTGGTCTACAGAATGAGTTCCAGGGCAGCCAGGACTACACAGAGAAACCCTGTCTTGAAAACAAACAAACAAGCAAACCAAAAGAATGTAGAGCTCAAACCCCCCCCCAGAAAATGCTTCCGTGAAACGTTCCCGGGGATAGCGGGAGGAACGCGGGAACATTCCACATATGATTCTGTCTGTTTGTTATAATGGAATTTTACCTGTAAGAGCAAGAAAGCTGTGCAAACCAACAGTAGTTACTAGCGCCCAGTTCTAACTCAACTCTGCTTGTTTGCTGTGAAGACTGAAGGCTGCACACTTGTGACTTGTCCCTGTGCCACTAACGGAGACTTTGCCTTATGGAGACTCACCGTTACTTTCGGGTGGTTTGTTGTTTCTAAGAAGCCAACGGATCTTAAGTGAGGCAGTGATTAGTGCATTTTCGTTTTATGACCGCGCTCTCATTAATCATCGGCACCACACCTTTACTGCTCCAGGAGAAATTGTTCTAGAAATGTCTGCGTGTAAGACACTTTATCAGGGTGACAGTTAAATAACAAACATTTCTGAAGTGCCCACCCATGCCCACTATTACGTTGGATGCTGTGAAGATACAAACTGATTCCACAGGACACTTGAGATGCAGTCGCCCTGGGAGCTCTCAAGTGAACCTTGTGAAGAAGCCAGAGAGTGTGAGAGTACTTACAGATTCAGACATAGGTGGTACTGGTCACACACGCTCTTTCTACCTGCTGGGACTTAGCGGATACACACGTTCCTCCAGGAAGCCTCTCTCCGGGCTCTTAGGCTGAAATGTCCGTCTGGGTTGGTGGGGCTTTGTTGTTGCCTTTTAACGTTTGTTTATTTATGTGTGTATGCGGTGGTGCGGTCACCCATACCACGGTGCTTGTGTGCACAGCAGAAGACAAATCAGAAAGGAGTTGGTTTTCTCCTCCACTGTGCGGGTTCCAGGGACCATCTCAGGCTTGGTGGTAAAGGCCTCTGTCCACCGAGCCATCCTGCCAGCCTTCTCTGGGTTTTTACACCATACTAGCTATACAGTGCCCTATCCTACTGTAGTATTGGAAATAACCCAGTAGGTATTCTTTCCCACCACGAGAGCTCGGCTGGCGGGATCCAGAAGCTTTCCTCACGCTTTGAGACCCCACATGCAGACTGAAGGAGGTGCGTATTTTAGAGCTCGCATGGGCACTTGAGGAATTCTACAAGAATAGTTTGAACATTGTTTTCAAGATAAAAAAAAAAAAGGCAGTCAGTAAGATAGTTCAATTACCACACAAGCTGGACATCTTGAGTTCAATTCTCAGAACCTATGTGGAGATGTAAGAAGGACCCGGCTCTGTGAAGTTGTCAACAGGCCCTGACTCTCTCTCTCTCTCTCTCTCTCTCACACACACACACACACACACACACACACACGTGCGCGCACACACACGCACAAATAACGTTAAGTATTACTGGGAGCCTTGATACTCCGAGCTGGTCTTTGGCCTTAGAGTCAAACAACTTCTAGCAATCTATACAATTTTCTCTAATTAAATGAATACTGTAAAGACGATGTTTTGAAAATATTGGTGTTAGCTCAAGTGGGCAAATTGGAAGGGGAGGGTTCTGTGCTGAGGGCGTCACAGAGATTTGTCTGAACTTGGAGTAGAGTGGGAACAGAGCAGGGGACAGATAAGAGGGACGGAGGGAGGGAGGGAGGGAGGGAGGGAGGGAGGGAGGGAGGGAGGGAGGGAGGGAGGGAGGGAGGACTCAAACTCAGGGCTTGACTGGTGGTAGGGGTCGCAGGAAATCAAGCTTTGAGGATACTGAAGCTAAAGAGTCTTGAGTGGAGTCACTTTTGTCCACGACAGCCAAGAACAGCTAGTTTGTAAAGGAAATGCAGTTTGCACTGGGGCATGTGAGCAGGATATGGATATTATATCATACAGGATAGGACTTGGAAAATAGGGGACTCGGAGTTCGATGAGAAGATGAGAGCTGTCCCCATTCCCTGGAGAAGGTGAAGGGGCAGGAAAGAATCTTCCAATACAGTGCGCGCAGCTTTGGTGGCCATTTCTAAGTAGAGACTGAGGGAGGTGCTAGCCTCTGAGCAAAGGTCCTGCGGGACACAGCTAACGAGAAGGTAAGTCGTCCAGTGTGGTGTGACGTCTCTGCCCCAGAGTGGCAGGGGACCCAGGGCAGATGTGACACAGAGCCAGGTGTGACTGTAGAGGTGGCGCACTGCTGAAGAGCGGGTTCAGCTCTATAGAGAAGAGGACCCGAGTTCTGTTCCCAGCACCTACTTAGGCAGTTCACAGACTCCTGTGACTCCAGTTCCTGGGTGCTGATCCCTCTGTGGCCTCCTCGGGTACACGCCTGTGTGCACATACATACATCCATAAGTTTAGAAATAACAATAATTAATCTTTTTTGCAGGTACTGGAAATATATCCAAAGCAGGATTATCTCAAATGAGATTTCCTATGATTGTTAGGAGTTAGTTAACCCCGTACCATGTATTTTGTTCCTTTTAATAGCGCGGGCTGAGTGTCTCCAAAGAGAGAAGCCTGTTGTTCCCTTGGAAGTCCTCTGCAGTTCCCACTTGGTTTTTGGGTTTGCAGAACAGTTTGTCAAAATTAAAGAGCGATAGATGAACTTTGTAATCTGGATGGGTGCCAGGGTTGTTTGTTTGTTTGTTTGTTTGTTTCTGCATGTTCTTGGTAGAAAATGCTTTCCTTGTGTCTGTTTGGAGTTCTGTGGAGGTCAGTGCTGAGGAGTGTGTGTGTGTGAGTGTGAGTGTGTGTGTGAGTGTGTGTGTGTGTGTGTGAGTGTGTGTGTGAGTGTGTGTGTGTATGTGAGTGTGTGAGTGTGTGTGAGAGTGTGTGTGTGAGTGTGTGTGTGAGTGTGTGTGTGTGAGTGAGTGTGTGTGTGTGAGTGTGTGTGTGAGTGTGTGTGTTTCCTTGGTGCAAATGGGCATGGCAAGCAGAAGATGGGAATCACTGAGAATGCTTCTGGCAGTTTGGTGGTGGTGGTTTTGTTGGTTTATAATTATATGCAACTAAAGAACATTTATGCTTCCTGAATTTTATGGATCACAAAAAACATACAGTCTAACAGAAAAACATACTTTATTTGCTGAGCTATAGTAGGTATGTCCAAACCGAATCTGTCTATCCTGACTCTGTTTTATTTTTGACATTCCCAATTGTATCCAGAACCCACGCTGACTCTGCAAAGCCAACCCCTTCCGAGACAGACTGCAATGACAACGTCCCTTCCCATAAGACCCCTGCTTCCTCCCAGAGCAAACACGGAATGAACGGCTTTTTTCAGCAGCAAATGCTGTATGACTGCCCGCCATCCCGAGCTCCATCCGTCTCTGTAGACTCCAGCCTCTATAACCTGCCCAGAAGTTACTCCCATGACGTGTTACCAAAGGAGTCTCCGTCAAGCACTGAAGCCGACGGAGAGCTGTACGTCTTTAATACCCTGTCTGGGGCTTCGAGTGTGGAAGCTCAGATGAGACATGTATCTATCAGTTACGACATTCCGCCCACACCTGGGAACACTTACCAGATTCCACGGACATTTCCAGAAGGCACCTTGGGACAGTCATCAAAGCTGGACACCATTCCTGATATCCCCCCACCTCGGCCACCAAAGCCACTTCCAGCTCATGACAGGTCTCCTGTGGAAACGTGTGGCGCCCCACGCGCAGCTTCAGACACCGACAGCAGTTACTGTATTCCTGCAGCGGGCGTGCCGCCATCCCGGAGTAATACCATTTCCACCGTGGATTTGAACAAGCTACGGAAAGGTCAGCTCCAGCAGGTTCTCCTATGTTAGGGGTCAAGCCTGGTTTTCTGAGGGGCTAGAGGCATGGCTCAATAGGTCAGAGCCCTTACTCTCAAGCATGGAGGCCTAAGCTCAGATCCCAATGCCCGCTCAAGTGTGTAACCCTGGCAAAAGAGTGTAGTTCATGGGGACACCTGACATCCCCTCTCGTCTCCACTCACTGTGAAGGCACCCAGGCAAATGAACCCACATGCACATGTGCACATAGAGCACATTCATTCAGACACATGCATGTACATGCAGGAAAACTCGTTTTCCTCAGTAATTGCTCCTTTCTGTGTAGTGTGGTGTTAAAGGGTATTTATCTCTCTTCTTCTGTAGCCCTGGCCCCCATACATATAGCCATGATGTCAGAGTCAGTACATCCCCGAAGAAGAGTGTGTCTGTCTGCCTGCCTGTTCAGTTAGAAAAGACCTGGATCATCTAATGCCTGGAAATGTATGGCCATATGCCTCCTACCTTCTGGGACTTCTGCAGAAGTGGGCTATGTTCTTGCCTGTGGCCATGTGCCATCATGGCCCCTTCTGCGTCAGATCTCTTGGGTTTTCCCCCTGTCCCTCCTCTGTCTCAGTTTTTACGTTTTTTACTTCATAGGAAATGACACCGTTCAAATCAGATCATATGCTGTCCCTGCTTTTCAATCTTTAGAGCACTGAGTGTCCTCTCTGTCCATCTTTGCTGACTGACTGTGGGGTGCTGTCTTATTCCGTCTTGTAGAGCTTGTGAACACAAACGGGAGACTTTGGGAGTGGGGACTATGTCTGGCTTATTCTCCAAGAGTCTTAAGTTTTGGTACAGTTGAATGCCGTGTGTTGAGCACATTGTCCTCATGTCCCTTACCTTTCTTTCCTCCCTTCTCCCTGTTCCTGTTGCTTCCCTTGATCTCCTAGAGAGTTTTGTTTCTGCTTTCATGTTACGTACAATTTTGTATGTCAGTATAAAATCTAGTGGCCATAAAGCACGTTTGTTTTTATGAGATTTGTATCATTTCTCTAATATAATTATCTCAAGTTGCATCCATGTTCTTACATGTTTATTCATGTTTTGGGGGGTTTTTTTGCCTTTGTTTATTCATTTATGATGTGTAGGAGGGCAGAGGACAACATTCAGGAGCCACTTCTCTCCTTCTGCCATGGAGGTCCAAGAGAATAACTCAGGTCCTCAGGCTTTATTCGCTGAGCCAGCTTCTTCATGGCTGGAGTGCCGTGTGTGTGTGTGTGTGTGTGTGTGTGTGTGTGTGTGTGTGTGTGTGTGTGTGTGTGTGTATCACACTTTCCTGTCCATTCCCCTGCTGGTAGACGCTTAGCCTGGCTGTTGGGAGCAGGGCTGCAGGGAACACTCTGATGTGCAGGTCTCGGATGCATCACCCTGAACACTCAGGAGTGGTGTAGCTGCGCCACGCAGTACCTGCAGTTTGACTGACTTCTGTTCTTCGGAAACTTCCACACTGGCTTTCACAGTAGCTGCTCTAGCTAAGTTCCCGCCAGCAACATTTTAAAGCCCTCTTTTGTCCTCCTCCTTGCCAGCACTTGTTAGTTGCTTTTTGTTTGTTTTTGTTTAGTGACCAGCATTCTGACTGGGGTAAGGAGGAATCTTAGTGTAGTTTTGATTTGCATTTCTGTGACAGCTAGTGAGGCCAAACAAGTTTTTGTGTGTTAACGGCCATTTGTATCCCATTCTTTGTGTATTAGATCTTCCTTTAATTAAATTAGCCTGTTTATTGACTAGGTGAGTGGCCCTCCGCCTTCCTAATGTCGCCACCATTTAATGCAGTTCCTCGTGTTGTGTGACACCCCCCCCCCCCGCCCACACACACGGCAAGCATAAAATTATCTTCGATGCTACTTCGTAATTGTAATCTTGCTACTGTTACGGATCATAATACAAGTATCCGTGTTTTCCAATGGTCTTAGCAGACCCCCTTAAAGGGATGGATGGAGACCCCCCCCCCAGGTTGAGAACTGCTGGGCTAGGTCTTTTGTTCTTGTTGTTGGTTTGTTTGTTTTTGAGTTTATTCTTGGAATGAGTCCTCCATCAGTTGTGTAGCTGGCAAAGACTTTCTCCCACTCTCTAGGCCATCTCTTTACTCACCAGCTTCTCCCTTTGCTCTACAGAGGCATCTTAATCTCCTGCGGTCTCATTGGTCACTTGCTGGTTCTGGGGACTTAGTGTCCTTACCTCCGGGCACACCAGCAGTCTTTCCTCCTCTTTTTCCTCCAGCAACTTCAGAGTTTCAGGTCTTACAGTAAGGCCTTTGATACACTCGGAGCTGAGTTTTGCATGATAAGCTACTGGGATCTAGTATCATTATTCTGCAGGTGGATATCCAGTTTCCCCAGCACTCTTTGTTGAAGAGACTATGTTTTCTTGTGTGTATTTTTGGCATCGTTGTAAAAAACCATGGGGGGGTGGGCTGTAGCTGCCTGGGGTTATATCTGGGCCTTCTTAGCTCATTGATCTACCTGTCTGGTTTTGTGCTACAATCATTGTTTCTCTAAGATTTTTAAAATTATAAAGTTAAAAAGCACTGCTGTGGGTACACAGGCCCTGAGAACTGCGTTAGCATTTCTGTGTTTTGTGGTAGAGTTTTCTAACTGTTGAAAAAAAGCCAAAGAATTAATATACCATAAAGTTACTTTTATCAGTATGTGTTCAGTCGATGCCAATTTCAGATTTCTGCTCCTTCCTTCTTCCTCCCTCCCTGTCATTCTCCCCTTCCTCCCTCCCTCCCTTTCTTCCTGCCACAGGATGTCATTGTAGCCCTGATTTCCCTGTGTAGCTGAGAATGACCTGAACTCCTCATTGCCTGCCTCTGCCTCCTCAGTGCTGGGGTTGTAGGTATGACCCACCACACATGGCCTTCTAACTCTCTTTCCAAAGAGGCTGTATAGCCTAGTTATGTCAGTGAAATGTTAGGCTCAAGATGGCTCAAAATGGATACCATTTCTTTTCTCCATCTTTAGATAACTTTTCTCACGCCGGGCTTGGACATTCGGTTGCTGTCAGTCAGGTCGTGATATTGGCAAGCATCTCAGTGTTTGTCTGATGTGCTAGTTCCAGAGCCTGTCTGACGAGCGACCCTTCGAGGGTGACGAACGTGTGCGTGGACAAGCATGAAGAACGGGACACCTGCAGACTGGCGAAGTGGGAGCCAAAGCTGACAGGTTTTTTTCTTAATTCCAGATGCCGTTTCTCAAGACTGCTATGATATTCCACGAACCTTTCCAAGTGATAGATGTAGTTCCCTGGAAGGCTTCCACAGCCAGTCTGTAAGTATTGACGGTGGCACTGTCTGAGTCTTCACACTTAGTACCCAAGACTCTGAGACCGTGACATGAAACCAAGAATAGACCCCGTGTGGGCAGATGTGATAACTGTGTCTTCACGTGCAACAGTGGCTTTGCTTATTAAGAGAAATGTATGTGTGTTTTAGAAAATCAAAACTGTGTTGACAGTGGGCGGTGTCTCAGGCGAAGAGCCGGATGAAAACTATGTCCCCATGAACCCCAACTCGCCACCACGACAATCCAGCAGCTTTACGGAGCCGACTCAGGAGCCAAATTACGTGCCAATGACCCCTGGGACCTTCGATTTTTCTTCATTTGGGATGCAAGTCCCCCCTCCCGCTCATTTGGGCTTCAGGTCCAGCCCAAAGACCCCTCCCCGGAGGCCAGTTCCTGTCGCTGACTGTGAACCACCCCCAGTGGATAGGAACCTCAAGCCGGACAGAAAAGGTAAGGGTTCCGGAATGTGGCAAGTAGAAGGGTAAGGGCGGGCGGGGTGCAGTTAGGATGCCTGTGACCATACCTAAACACGGAGCTAGCGGGGGGGGGGGCGGTGGACACAGTCTGAAGTCGTAATACAACCTGGGTCCTTAAGTACAGAAATCCTGCTATTTGTGAATGAATGGGATTTCCAGGTCTCCTCAATCTAAAATAGAGGTGACAAGCTGGAATATCCAGAGCGCTGGCAGCAACGGGCCACCACTAGGAGAATCTGGATTGTTTTTTCCAAAGCATGTAGGCTGGACATCCGATTTTTTATATAGTTTCAAATTAAAGGTGCATTATAACACACTTGCTTGATTATTTAACAATAGTGATGGTGTCTGTATAATCTTTTCCCACATCATAACTTTAAAAAAAAAAAGTCTGCTTTGGCTACAGGATGAGCAGAAGCTCCAGTAGCGGTTAGTCTGGACTTCCTAAGGAAGGTTGGGTTCCAAAGCAGCAGAGCACGTTAGGCCTGGTCCTCTTCTTCAGAGGAAACTTCTCAGCCCCTTTGGGTAATGTCTCCTCAAGTTTTAAAAACTTGGGTGCAAACCAGACATTATGACCAATTCTTTTCATCCCAGGGCTTGGGAGGAGGGTGAATTTCTGTGATCCAAAGCCAGCCTGGTCTACGAAGTTCCAGGTCAGCCAGAGCTGCCTATTAAGACTCTGTCTCAAAAACAAAACAAAGCAAATTTAGAATAAGCCTTTTAAATACAACCCACTGTGCTCAACACACCACTTGCCTGCCTTGGGTTTCATAAGCAACTGAAGTTAGAGTCTATATAACGTGATGGGCTCCTGGCTCCTTACAGGGGAGTTAAAGTCATTTGAAAAGCCATGTGCCGTCTATGACTTTTTCAGAACATGTAATGTTTATGCAAATTTCTTGTTAACCAGGGCTTTGATCACTCACACGAATTATGTTGTAGTTGTGGGAAGCCGAGGCTGAGACAGACAATTTCAAACTAAAGGCTCTGGTTTAATCTTACATAATATAAATGTATTTATGCTGAAATTGTACGGCAGTCTGTGGTCTTCACCTCGTGTGCTTGTCTTGTGGCTGTCTCTGTGTCCACTCTGGTCTCTTATTTCTCTTTCCCTCCCTGTGCTCTTTGCCTTGACTGGGTTCTGCTTTCACGAGCTTTGGCCTGCAGCGCCTCTCTGTGGCCTCAGTTCTGAATGCCTTCTGTGCGCCTACCCTGCCCGCATCTGCTTCTGATTGCCTCCGCCATCATTACAGACTTCAGGTTAGTTAGAGATCATTGGAGTGGCCCAGGTTGTCTTCTCACGTCTGGCTGGGGAACCTCGCTGCTGTTGCGGCAAAGGCCCACTGTGGGTCTCACCCATTGCCTCCCAGATACCCATCCTCCCTGATTGCGATCTGGAGTTGTTTAGAAAGGGTCCAAGTGCTGCAGGCCTTTTCTCTGTTTTCTTTGCCTTTGTCTTTAACTCGATTAGAAACCCCACTAATAGTTCTCTTCTTGGCATAAAACGTAAGTGAACATGAAGAGATTCATAATTGGGCCACAGGTCACTGAACGATCAGTCCGGGAACCGTAGACACCAACTATTGAGATCCTTTTTAAAACATTAAACCAGCGTGCTATTTTCCTGTGGTTAGTTCATGCTAGCTGCAATCTCGGCTTTTGAACCCCCAGCTTAGGAGTTGTGTTAGCTATTGGCTCCATATAAATGTAGAGGTGGGGTGGAGGGGGAAGGCAGAGGTTCTAAACCTGACATTGCTGGTATGTCCTGTATTATTAGTAGTGTCTTAGGTCTGTTTCATACTGTGACGTATACTATCTCCTTAACTACATATTTGGACAGTTATGCCTCCCCCTGAACAGAGGGGAAGGACCAACCTCTCTGATACCCAGGACATTATGTGCCTCGGGTCTTTATATCAACCTGAAGTAACTTTACCATAGAATAGAACAAAGTAAGTTTGGAACGCTTCCAGAGGCTGTCGTTCTTATCAAAGTTAGCCAAGCTTGAGACAGGAGAAAGCTAGGTGTGCAGCCAGTGTGTGAAGGTTCTGAGCCCACTCCCAGCACTACACCCTGACCAAACTATTTATTTTGACATATTTGCTTAGATACATGACGAGCTGAGAAAAAGCAGCCAGGGCAACATCCAGGGACAGTTTTAGCAAAATATTAAAGAAGTTATTGAAATCATAGTATCGGTAAAAGGGGTTTTTGCTTTTCTTTTGTGCTCTTGTAACCTTTAATCTCAATCAGTAGGATTCCTAGAGGAGGCCTAGGAAAATTTTTACTGCATGAGGGATACTTTGTCAGCTCACCCTGGGAAGGTCTAACTGTTCAGAAAAGTTCAGTTTAGGAGCTAGAGAGATGGCCCAGAGATAAGAGCACTGGCTGCTCTTACAGAGGTCCTGAGTTCAATTCCCAGCAACCACATGGTGACTCACAACAGTCTGTAATGAAATCTGGTGTCCTCTTCTGGTATGCAGACATACCTGCAGGCAGAACACTGTATACATAATAAAATAAATAAATCTTTAAAAAAAAAAAAAGCACCATTTAAAACCCAGATTCCAAGCCTGGTGGTGGTGTGAGTGCCTTTAATCCCAGAATTTAGGAGGCAGGTGGATCTCTGAGTTGGAGGCCAGCCTAGACTACAGAGCGAAATCCCAGAGCAGCCAGGGCTACAATGAGAAACCCTGGCTAAAGTAAAACAGATGATGATGATGATAACATTTTAAAAATTGATGGGGTTGGAAAGATGGCTCTTGAAAAGGACCAAAATTCAGTTCCCAGCACCCATATCCAGAAGCTCTCCCTACAGCTTCCAGGGGATCCAAACCCTTTTCTAGCTTCCAAGGGCACCCCCACACACACATACACATGTCTCCCCTGACATGCATGTAACTACAGATGAAAGAAATTACTGGGCAGTGGTGGCACACTCCTTTAATTCCAGCAGAGGCAGAGGGATCTCTGTAAAATCGAGGCCAGCCTGGTCTACAGAGTGAGTCCCAGGACAGCCAGGGCTGCAGTGAGAAACCCTGTCTCAAAACAACAACAACAAACCGGATTCCAGCCAGATGGGTCTAACTCATGGGGCAGACAGGCACATCTTTCTAAGTTTCAAGCCGTCCAGGGCTATGCAGTCTCAAAACACTAAAGACAATATAAAAGCTGAAATTGCGACCTCACAACTAAGTTTATTCTTGACCATATGCACTGGGAGCGCATGTCTTGTTTGGCCATGAGAGTCTTCTCGCTGTTCATAGCAACAGGTGAGTATTTTAGCTGCTAGTTCGTTAACACCAGATAAATGATTGAGCTGTTATGTCAGCGTCTCTTATTAACTAACTCCTGAGAAACTCACTCGGTTCCTCTTAGAGCCTCAACCAACTGGCTTTTTGCAATTGCTTTCCTTGGAAGAGTCTGTGAACAAGTGACAGCCTAGTCTTGTTTATGCCCCAGTTCTAGACGTCAGCTGCCATAGTGTGTGCTACTGGCCAGTTTTCCAAATGCTGCCAACTGATTGAAGCTGCAGAAGGGCAGACACCTAATGTGTGGCCTTCGGGGTAGCTCAGTGTTCACTGTCCTTTTCAGGGGTGTTTCTTTGAGGCACATGTTACATGCATTGAATAAGGAGCGCTTTAATCGTATTGTTAAGAGGTGCCAGAGAAGCAGAGAAGTCGCCAGAAGTGCAGAGCAGAACAGCTCTGTGAAGCCTTTGTTTTGCTAGGTTCTTACAGCAGAGCCTCACTAGCCGGAGACCGTTTTCCCTGTGTAATAATTGTCGCTCTTACATTATTGCACTCCTCCTTACACTGTTCACACAAGCACAGATGTTTTCTTTCACAACTCTGCCTCAGGTACCTGCTGAAATCAGCCGAGAGAGTGATCTTGCGAGTTACTTTTCTTCAGCCTTCATTTTGGGGGTATTATTTGGAAATAATAGCATAATTTTAAAAGAGTAATAATGTAGCTATGTTATTATAAACTAATTCAGAACATTCTCGTGTAGCATTGAGTTTATGTAGGAGCTGCCGCCGAGGATACCATTAGTACGCAGGGCTTTTCAAAGGAACTGCACGTGTGAGTTTGAAGAAAGTGTGGCCTGCGGAACTGCGCTGAGCACACTGACTCCAAGAGGCAAATGTTTTCTGATAACCATCTTTGATTTTCCCCCACCTCTATTCATGTAGTGTACGGAGGCCAGAGTCAGCATGGGGTGTTTTTCTCAATCGCTCTCCACTTCATTGTTGAAGGCAGGGTCTCTCACTAAACCCCGAGCTTCCTGATTCAGCTGGCCTGGCTGTCCAGTGAGCTCCGGGGATCCCCTTGTGTAGCCCCTCTCCCACCACCTCCACTCTTCAACACTGAGGTTGCAGGGGTACAGCACTCGACCTGGGGCCCCCTTGAATGCTAGAGATGAGGTTCTACAGCTTGCACAGCCTGGTACTGATTGAACTCTTTCCCTGGTGCCTGGTTTTATTTTATTTACATAACAAACCAGAGTTCTCCTCATTGTGAAGGCAGTATCTATGCGGTAGTATAAACACAGTTGAGAGGACCCACTATGCAAGTAGAATAGCCATGATAAGGGCTCTAGGCGGCAATAAGCCCGTGGAGATGAGAAAGTGAACCCTCAACCTGCACTCAGAGAGTTCCAATTCTGTTGGCACTGCCATCCTTGTGACTCTTAGCAGCCCCTCATTCCTCAGTGACGATTTGAGCATTTGTTCCAATCCAACCTTCACTGGGGAGCTTGGGGAGGGTTAGGTGCGCTCAGGCAATCCCTGGCTACCGGAAGTCCTCAGTATGTGTCTGCTGTTGGTCGGTAAGGGCCATCGTACATCCCGAGGCAGTCTTATAAAATGTGATTTAGTGAGCTTTGTGAAGGGACGAGGGACGTTGAACAGTGTGGTGAGGTGGGCGTCCACAGTACGCTTTCATGGCAGATCCTCCATTCCGTCTTATCGCCGAAAACCATCTCATGTCTGGGTGATCATGGGAAGTAGTAAGTGGGTGCCCGTTGTACGGTGCCACACAGCAGGGCCACTGGTGCCTCTCGGTTCAAGGCCAGCCTGGTCTATAGAGTGCGGTCCAGGACAGCCAGGCTACACAGTGAGACCCTGTCTTTAAAGCCAAACAAACGAAATAGAAACCCAAGTAGTAAACTCGTTCTGATTTTTCTTCCTCTAAGCATACTTTTGTTTTGTTTGCCACAATAAGATGTTACTAGAAGAAATTTAAAGGGACATAGATGGGAACTTTTTTCTGCTTTTACTAATTTGAAACTGGTCCCTCCCAGAAAAAAAATATCTATGAAACAAAAACACAGGGGTGAAAACATTAAAACAAAATAATTTCCTAGATAGCTAAGCTTTTAATAAGTTCAGCGGCCATCAGGAAACTCCCAGTTATCAGATCCTTGGTGATTCTGTTGTGTCTGTGAACACCCTGGCCCCTGTTTGTCCTGGTAGAAACGGGAGAAGAGACATCCGAAGACCGATATCCTGGTTTTTAAGGCATAGTTTTGTTGTTTTTTGTTTGTTTGTTTGTTTTTTAAAGAGTGTCACTACTTTTCATAACCCAAGATCATCCTGGGCGGGAGCCACCAGGCCTGAACTCCCACAGGCTCTCATCCGCCTAGGTGACCTGTTCCTTCTGTTTTAATGCCTCTCATTATCAGTTCTCTCTTCCCTAACATGTCTAGTCCATATGCAACTGCTCAAAGGAGCCAGGCTTTTCACACAGCTCTGAGGTTCTGAGCCCCTGTGCTAGCCCTGCTAAGGCTGTTGGCTTGGTGGTGTGACCCATTAAGTACTGGACAGCAGTTGCAGCTGAAGTATGGAGCTACAGAAATGTGAGAAACCAGAGCAAGACAGCAGCCATTATTTAACCAGATAACATTTGGAGAGTACAGCTTGGCATTGTGGCTCATTGCCTTTTGTTAATCCCAGCATCAGGAGACGGGGGCAGGTAGACCTCTATGAGGTCAAGTCTAGTCATTATTTACATAATGACTTTCAGGGCTATGTAGGGAAACCCTGTCTTAAACAAACAAAGGTTTAGAGAATACTGAGGTGAACAATTCAGGAACAAAGTACAACAACCACCGGGTGAACACGCCGCAGGCAACACCAACAGCAGTTTGGATATACTAGAACCTCCACATGCCAGCGGTCTGTGGTGTTCAGACAGGTGATGTCCACATCTGTATTTACTCAGAATCGTAACAGCTCTACATCTAAGAACAGTCCTGGGCAACTCTCTGCTTCATTTGAGTAGATTGACGCCATGGGTGACTGTGGACTCCAGAGAGCTGTGAGATTGCAAGCTGACCTGGAGAACAATGCTGAACTTGAGTGGATAAGCCACCCGGTTCTCTGTAGAGGAACACAGTAAAGGCTGCATTCCTGAGCAGCGGGAAGCCAAAGGAAGCCGCTCAAGTCACGTTCATTTAGCCTCTTCCTAAGACATGTTACAAAAACTGCTCGCATGGCACACGGTCTTCCTCTTTGTCCTCAAGAAAAGAAGGCTAAGCAGCTGGTTGTCCCTTTCCCGGCCCTCTCTGTCCCCCTCCCCGTGCCTGTCACGCCGTAGCATGCAGCTTCCTCCATTTCATTGTACTGAGCATGAATCGTGGTCTAGCGAGACTGGAATGGTTTTCACTAACAGGTTTTTGCTTGTGCTTTTATTAAGTCACACTTCTGCACATGGCTCCGTACCTTTTTTTTTTTTTAACAGAATCCATTTTCAAATTTAAAAATAACATTATAATAAGAGAGTTTTCTTTTTACCAATTAGGTCAGAGTCCTAAAATTTTAAGACCCAAACCCCATGGTTTAGAGCGAACTGATTCACAAACCATAGCTGACTTTGCTACAAGAAGAAAGGGTATGTACCTAATTGGGGCATTGGGAATCTATTTATTTTATCCTTTTTTTTTTTATTCAGAAGAAAGAAGGAAAAGGGAAAGGGGAGCTTTAGTAGTACTGCTGTTGCAAGCTGCTGCCCAGTGTGTTGTCTCTAAAGAGAATGCAGCTCGTGGTGCACAGAGTCTCTTTGTTCCGATGGGCAGAGGCAGCGTGGGGACCGTTTGATTCCATGTCAGCTGTAGTCAGCCTTGTCTCTGCATTACCCCTTAACTTTCTAGGCGGCAGCAAGCTCTTTCCCCTTTGCTTATGGGCTGCTGTGAGCCCCAGTTGTCTCCTGTCTTTGTATATGTATGTGTTTTCTGTTCTGAAATAGAATAAAAAGCAGTTTTGGTGTTTTTACCATGGCACAGCATAGAAATTGACAGCTGAACTCTTGCTCACCATTCTGTGTAAAATAAAAATTAGTAAAGGAAACTTGAAGAAAAATCACCTTCATTCAGCAGTATGCTGAAGGTATCTGTTTTAAGGATATAGCTTGGTAGAGCTCTTGACTGAGATTCTCATCATGCTTGAGCTGTGAGCCCAGGCGATCTGCAGCTTTGAAATGACCGCCCGGTGCTCTCATGGTATGTGTAAGATAGCTGATTAAGATTGCATGTTTTTGAACAAGTTGATGATCCTTTGGTTTGGGATCTAGCGAAGTTTCCGGTGATTTCGGCACGTCATTTTACGTGTGCTGCTGTCCGCTGGATGCTCCAGTACTGGAGAACGAGTTTTACACAGATGCCTAAGTCTCCCGCCCCCGAAGATTAAATCTGTAAAAAATAAAAAATGGTTTAATGAGAATAGTGCCCAGCAACTTTAAAGGAATTCATACTTTTACAACCTCATTTAATTTCTATCTACAAGGTGCGTATCCGCATTAAGAAACAACATATAGTCGTTCGTAGTTTGGACCTTGAGCTGACTGACGGTCATGCATCAAAAGGTTTAGCTTTTTTCCCTGAGCATTTAAAACTCTGACGCTGCAGGCCTTGTTATCATATGTAAGACAGTGTCTGCCTGCCATGGATAAATTGTGCAATTGAGAGGATCTTGTTTGGTTTTCGAGGCTTTATGCACCCAGACCTTTTCTTCTCTTTCTTCCTAGCCAAGCCAGCACCTCTGGAAATAAAGCCGCTGCCAGAGTGGGAAGAGCTGCAAGCCCCAGTCAGATCCCCCATCACCAGGAGCTTCGCTCGGGAGTAAGTCTTCTGCTCAAAACACGAAGTTTGGACAGCGGGACAATTAAAATAGTCTCTTTTATGAAATAACTTTATAAAACGCCTATATTCAAGAGCAGTAGGTCAAACAACAGCCTAGAGAAGCTCCCCTACCAGGGGTCTACAAAGTCAGAGCTGTCATGTGTTCTAATACAAGTGTGCAGTATGTAACTGTAAACTAGAAAGGATGCGTGTTATCGCTTAGGTTTATACTGGAGTGATTGGACAGCTCTTCCTCATGTTCATGGTGATCTTTCCTTAGCTCCTCTAGATTCCCCTTGTCCCCTCGGCCGGATTCTGTGCACAGCACGACGTCCAGCAGCGACTCTCATGACAGTGAGGAGAACTACGTCCCCATGAACCCAAACCTGTCCAGCGAAGACTCGGTATGTACAGTCCTCATTCATGTCTCCCTGTGAAACCAGTGCAGCTCAAACCGTGCTGACCTCTGCCCTCACATCTTTCTTCCTATGCCTAAACAATCCAAGGCTCCCTTTAAAGTACTTTTGCTCATTTAAGGACTATCATAGTCTAAGGCCAGCCGCGGTCAAACTGTTCTGCGTTACCGTTGTAAATCATTGAAAAACATGAAGGGTTTTGTGCTAGCTCTGCACTGTTGTAGCGAATTCCTGAGACAACCAGCTTAGAGAAAAGGTTTGTTTGTTTGTTTTTGAGACAGGGTTTCTCTGTGTAGCTTTGGAGCCAGTCCTGTAACTTACTCTATAAACCAGGCTGACCTCAAACTCACAGAGATCTGCTTGCCTCTGCCTCCAGAGTGCTGGGATTAAAGGCGGGAACGGTGTGCACCCCCATGTCTGGCTGAGAAGGTTTATTTTACTTGGAGTGCTGAGGGTCTGGGGTTGCTCGGTTCTGTTGCTTTGGGCCTGTGGTGACCCATGTGGCAAAGTGAGAAAAGAGCCAAGATCTCGCACCCTCTTCAGGATGTGACCCCAGTGACATAAATAAAGACCCCACCTCTTGGAGATGTCGCCACCTCTCGGTAGTGCCATTGTGAGATCAAGTCCTCCCACAGATCACCCTTTGAAGGGCCTTTCACATCCACACTCCAGGAGTTCACAGCCGTTCCAGCTGTAGTTCATTTAAAACATCCCCAGCTGTAGTGCAGTGAAATCCTCCAGGCCCGGGTTATGGCAGGCGTCTTGGAGAACTGTCTTATGCAGACGGTCTCCGATGATCTTTCAGTTCTACTAAAAGAAGGACTAGAAAGAAAGGCATTACAATCAGAAGTCAAACTGAGGAAATGAAATTCAGAATTGTGTGTACCTATGGCATTAAGGCAGGAAAGTACTTTGGTATGTCTAGTGTGTCCAAACAAGCATGAGCTGGGGCTGGAGAGATGACCCAGCAGCCAAGCGCACCAGAGTTCAATTCCCAGCACCCACTTCAGATGGTTCATGGCAGTAACTCTACCCGCAAGGGATCCGGTGCCCTCTGCTGGTCTCTGTGAGTCCCCGCACACACATGCACACATACATATGTAAAGACACACATATACAGTTGTTGTTTTTTTTTAAGTGCAAATAGCTATGGGTACAATCGATAAGTCGACTGTGTCCCTTCTAGCTCCCCATGCCGCCAGCTGCCAGGACTCAGTGGCCCATGTGGCCCTTCCTTAGAAAAGAATGTGGTTGTTAAGATTCCTCAGAACTCTTAACTGTTGTAACACAATGTGTTGACAAAAATTCACAGTATCTGACATGCTTTTGGATTTATTAAACCGGTGTAGAAAAATTAATTTTCACCAAAAAGTTAGGACAGATTTACATTACATCTGATTTGTGTCTACAGATCAAGTCACACATTCATCGAGGTTGTCAAAAATTTGAGTAATGGTCCAACTACCGCCATAAATGTTGTTAGATGATAACAAAAACATCCATCAATTCTGTATATTTCTTAGAACGTTAGAAAACCTATTGCTTTATTCTGTTACTTCATGTGCATAGTGCTTACAGTGAGTCTCAGAATCCTGGAATTTCTCTAAAAGTTGTGTGGGGAAAATACTGGGTGAAAGGCTAGTGTGGAGACGGGCTGTTCCCCACTAAGGCCCATAGACTTCCTAAAGAAGCTGAATTTCAGCCCCACGTTGAGATGAGAAGAAAGCCCAGCTCTGCTGTTAGTTAGACAGGGTTCAGCTTGGAGTGCTGACCAGTCCTCTGAGGAACAGCCAACTGGAATTAACTGTGCAGGAACTAGGAATTTATGTGTCACTCTTATAGCTTAAAATACTGTAGAAACCGCCCCAGCCAGGGAAAGGTGAAGTGTGTGTTTGCACTGGGCACCTTCAGACGGAGCGTTACCCACACTCCAAACTGAGAGGGCCGTTCTAGAGGGAAAGAATTGTGATTGCATTGCAGGGTTTTGTTCTTTTCATACTTAGGAGAAGGGGCGTGCCGCCATTTTAACTGGGCATCCAGATGCTCCCCATCCTGTGAGCTGTGCTACTGCTCTGGAAGTCCTTGCCAAAGTCTGTCTTCAGGGTTTGCTGCCTGATTTTAGAGTCCTTCTATAATGCAGTTCCTTTGATGTAAGGAAGAGATCAGGCTGAGAGAGAGTGAGGTCCTTAACTGAAGGAAGTGCAGTCATGATCCATAGCTTTAGTTAACATACTTGGATGTATCTTTCTCCAAATAGCTTAAAATTAAATGTGGATATTTATTTTTAAATTTTCCATGCAATATATTTTGATCATAGTCTTCTCCTCCTCACCTCTTCCCAGATCCCCCCCCCACACTTTAAAAGCAAGACCTAAGAGGGTTCCTCTCTATAAAAATGTAATTGAGCTGGGCACATAAACAAATCTTCTAAAACTGCCTTAGTTTTTACCAGACTCCCTGCATTTAAAAATACACCAGCCAGGCAATGGTGGCACACGCCTTTAATCCTAGCACTTGGAGACAGAGGCAGGTGGATCTCTGAGTTTGAGGCCAGCCTGATCTACGGAGCCAGTTCCGGGCTAGCCAGAGCTACACACAGAGAAACCCTGTCTCAGAAAGCCAAAACCAAACTAACCAAACAAACAAAAAGAATGTTTGCTTCGGCTTTTGCAGTCATGTGTGGCTTGATGTCTAAATATTTTTTTATTATTGCTCTTCACAGTTTCGTGTGCGCATGTGCCTGGCTGGGTTGCTTGCACAAGCGTGGATAAGGGGTCATTTACTTGAGCAAGGGACACTGACCAGTGGATAGATACACCACTGAGAAATATGGCTGCCTCCTACTGTAGTCATCGCTGGGGGCTCTCCTAGGTCAGGTCTTGCTTTAACTAAGTTTGAATTAGAGCCCAGGAGTTCAAGACCAGTCTTGGACAACACAGTGACTCTTCCCCATTCCCCGGGGGGGGGGGGAAAGAGTGGGGGGGGGCAGAGCAAATCTCCTGAATGTCTGCCCACTGGTTGCTGTTCTGTGCTTTCAGAATCTCTTCTGCAGTAACAGCCTTGATGGAGGGAGCAGCCCCATGGTCAAGCCCAAAGGAGATAAACAAGTCGAATACCTAGATCTAGACCTAGATTCTGGGAAATCCACGCCACCACGGAAGGTAAGTGAGACAGATGTGCCCTGTAAGTAATTTAAGCACTCTTTGAAAGACCATCTTCTTTGGAGAAGTTTTAGGGGCCTGATGGAAATTTCGCGACAGTTGTTTTCTAAGTCACAAGCAACAGAATTACGAAGATGCTAGCTCTGTAGAGGTGTGGAAGTTGTACGCTTTCCACTCATTGTGGTTACTGTAGAAATGATTACTTAACAAATTCTGAGTTTGCCCATGCTTTCGCTCTCTTTAGAATGAAGGATGCGGCTTAGCTGAGCACGGTGGTGACACCTTTAATCCTAGCGGTCAGGAAGCAGAAGCAGGAGGGTCTTTGAGTTCAAGGCCAGCCTGGTCTACATAGAGAATTCCAGACTAGCCAGCTCTACATGGAGATCCTCTGTAAAAATGAAAGAAAAAGAAAATATGGCTCAAATCATGTGCTGTTTTTTTCCTTAAATTTTAATTTCTATCAAGCTTGCCAATTAGTTAAATTATATATTTTTTAACTTTTCATCTGTGTGTGGGTATATGCACATGAGTGCATGCTCGTCAGAGGCCGGAAGAGGGCAGCAGTTCCCAGGAGCCGGAGTGACACGTGCTTGTGAGCCTGCTGATGTGAGCGCTAGGAACCCAGTTCAGGTCCTCTGCAGGAGCAGTGTACACTTTTAGCCCCAAGCCCCTTTCCAGTTCCTGGTTCTGTAAGTCATGTTTCCTACACTCATCCCCACTGTGGTACATCCTGTAGAAGTCCCTGTAATGGAGCTCTGTTGGGATGAGTTTTTCAGGTTGTGTGTCTCTATTTTGGAAACAGGTTTTGTTGAGATCACATTTCTTTCCTTCCCCCTCCCCCCACATAATTATGCAGGTGGAAGTTTCCTGTCTCAGAGCTGCTTGGTACCAAATACCTGGCAGCTGCTTCCCAAATTACCACACAGAGAGTTAATAGTACTTATAAGTGCCCAGTCAATAGCTCAGGCTTATAATTACCTAACTCTTATATTTTTAAGCTCACCCATATCCCTTATTTATGCCCTGCCATATGATGGTACCTCATCTCAGTACGGCCATCTTGCTGTCTGACAAGGGGCTCTTAAGTCATCTTTCTCTTTCCTATCATTCTTTGTTTGGTCGCCAAGCCTATACTTCCTACCTGGATACTGGCTAATCATTGTTTTATTAAGCCAGTTCAAGTGACAGATCTCTACAGTGTACAAGAGGAGTATTCCACAGCATATCTGATAATTTTCAGTATAATAAACTTGAATCTTTAAAATTAGGGAGTTTGCTTATGTAAGATTTCATCATTCGTACCAGAGAAAAGCTCATTGCTGTCATGTTGACCTGACACCGTCTCCTAACAGAATGAGAGACTCAGTTTCCTGGCAGGGAGTTGAGCTATTGAGGTCAATTCTTGCCTGACCCTCCTCACCACCCGGAACCTTCTTCCACTGTCAACGGTCTTCCTGTCTACATGTCACCTGGCTGCCTTCACTCTTCCCTGTCTGAATTCACAATTTCATGAGAGTGTGTGTAGACGTAGACTTCTTTTCGCTGGTCCACTCTACTGAAGTTATGCTTGTTACGATTACCCAGCAAGGTGGAACCTTCAGTGAGTCTCGTGGCAGGTGAAAGACGGAGAGGCCACACAGACAGAGCTTGAGTGTGGAGTTGATTGAGGGAAGGGTAAGGAGGAGGTGACAGAGAGACAGAGACAGACAGACAGACAGACAGACAGACAGACAGACAGACAGACAGTGAGCTGCCTCCTCAGAGAAGAAGCAGAAGGAAGAAAGCAGGAGTAGATGGAACTTGTCTCCTAAGGAACAGGATACTGTCAGCCATGTGCAGGCGGGTGGGTGACACACTGTGCCAGGTTCTCAAAAGTCTGTTCGCTGCGGCTTTACATATCGCTTCTCTGCTAATTCCCTTTGTCACCTGCCAGTTAAGACACAGCACGCCTTCTATTTCCACATCTTTGTAGTTTTCTGTCCTTGGGTTCTCTGTCTAATTTTAGATAGTTTTTATAGCTCTATCACCAAATTTACTAATTCTCAGTTCTCTTTTGTTGAGGATTTTGGTTTTGGTTTCTTTGTTGTTTTCAATTATTGTATATTTATCTCTGAAATGAAATTCTGTTTGATTCGCTTTAACTGATGTCCATTTCTTACTGTTGTGTGTCTAATGCCTTTTCTGATTAGCCCGTTAATACTCTGTGCACATACTTTATAGTCTGATATAGTAATTCCAGTATCTGAAGTCCTCAGAGGCCAGAATTCGTGTTTATTCTTTCCATTAGCCTACATTCTTTATGGCTTGCCTCCTTGTGTGTTTATGAATTTTCACTGCAAATTCAGGGTTGAACTTTAAGAAGCTGAATTTCCTGCACAAAGCAATTCTAGTTCCTTTGCTTCTAGAAGCCAGATGAGACGACTACTCTAGGACCACATCAGCTTCCTTAGAGGACCTCCAGCTTATCCGGGAGTCTCGGTTTCAGCATCCCTCCTTCCCTAGCCCCCACCCCAGCATCACTCCTTCCCTAGCCCCCCCAACCCCAGCATCCTTCCTTTCCTAGCCCCCCACTCCTATGCCCCCCATTGCACTGTACCCATCCATGTACATGGCAAGGGCCTTTGTCATACATAGACTTGTCCCTCTTCACCATTCCCTCAAATCCTAGCTGTCTCCTGCTGTATACTAGGCCCTACAGAACATTGCCAGCTGTGTTTGTTTTCAGTTACCCTGTATCTAGTTGCACATTAGGGGTCAAGGGGAATCCCCTTTGTAGTTTGTTTTCCTTTGAATAGTACCTTACTTAGGGCTAAGAGTAAGCAGCAGGTGGTCCTGGTGCTGATCCAGGCCTGGAAAGTTCAAACAGAAGCTAAGGGAAGACTCTGGTCTCTGCGTTTTTTAGATGGACCTGGTTTTCATCTTATTCTGTTTGAATGGTTCTATATAATTTTAAAATTGAGAGAAATTAGTGTCAAGTTGGGTACGGACAGACAATACACTTAAACTAAGGCTTTTCTGTATGTAATTTCAGGACTGCAAATATCTGTCTATATTTGTTTGTTTTTGAAGCAGGGTTTCACTATGTAGCCCTGGCTGCTCTGGAGCTCTCTACATAGACCAGGCTGACTTTGAACTTAGATCCACCCACCTAGTTCTGCCTCCCGAGTCCTGGGAGGAAAGATGGGCACTCCCATGAAAGGCATATGTATCTATTTTAAATTTTGAGTTTCACCCAGAACCATTCTCACAAATTGCACTTTGGGGGCAATTTCTTTGTTTTTTTTTTTTAGCAAAAGAGCAGTGGATCGGGCAGCAGCATGGCCGACGAGAGGGTGGATTACGTTGTGGTGGACCAGCAGAAGACTCTGGCTCTGAAGAGCACCCGGGAAGCCTGGACGGATGGCAGGCAGTCGACAGAATCGGAAACTCCCACCAAAAGTGTGAAGTGAAGATACACCATTGCCGCTGCCGAACAAGTTGGAACTGAGGAAAAGACAGATGCCGAGCGAGCGGAGAACACGATGCTTCTCCTCCCAGTAGAAGCTCAAGCGAGCAAGGAGGGAGAAAAGGACCTCTCAGACGTGGTCAAGCAAATTAGATTGTAAATGGTGCTGTGTGGTATTGGATTTGTAACGTGTAAATAATGTGGGGGAAATAGTGTTGTAGTTCTCACAGAAACATCTGTCCCTAGATAACATGCCTGTAGTATTACTATAGTGATGCACTTTTTCATTGACCATGTTGGTTTGGGTCTTCCTGATGTACCCTAACAGATTCCCTTGGGTCTTCCTGATGTACCCTAACAGATTCCCTTCTTCCTGACGTACCCTAACAGATTAAATTCCCTTTGGTCTTCCCGACATACCCTAGCAGATTCCCTCGGGAGTTCCCGATGTACCCTAGCAGATTCCCTCGGGAGTTCCCGATGTACCCTAGCAGATTCCCTTGGGAGTTCCCGATGTACCCTAGCAGATTTCCTTGGGAGTTCCTTTTGTCTTCTCACACTACTCTATGTAACAATACTAAGTGAAATGAGCTACTTTTAGTTCTGGAAATTTCAGTTGAAGCTACAGGCTAACACCATTAAAATGAGAAGTAGTTCACAAATTTGCTTTCCCGTAAAGGTGGTAACCATGAGCTTAAACTGTAGAATATAGTTGGACTCCCCCTTTGTTGGTTTCCAAAATACCGGGGATAATGTATATACTGGTGTCAAGAACTAGTTCTTTGGCTCATGTATACTTAGGTTTTAATAGTATAACTTGGTTGGTTTTTGTTAATTGGTGTTTTGGGTTCATTCTGTGAAGGGTTCTGCTGGGTAGGACCTTGCACCTTTGCCAGACTGGCTCCGGTTACACTATTAGGCCCACAAATCACCTGCAGATGGACTGGTGGTCTGCTCTCAACCCTTGTTCACATGGATCAAACATTATTTGCAAAAGGTGGATTCTGTGGCTAATCAGGTACGTACAGGGCACTGCTGTGCCAATACCCTGATCAGGTTTAGACAGAGAGCTCCAGTTAGGTTTGGGTTAATCCTAATATTGGTTTAGAATTAATGAAACGTTGGCATTCACTGTCAGTTACAGCACCATACTGTGATTTTGAATTAAGTAGACAGTAATTCAATATTATTACTCTTGAGAATGAAATCCTCTCTTTTGACACCATAGTGCCCTTTCTATAATTTTTTTACTTAATATTCTTCTTGGCCTTATATTTAAATCCCTATGCAATTAATGTTTTATATCTGCATTTTAAAAAAGAAATGTCATTTTAAGTGATCCTTGTAAGTAGCACCTATTGCCTTGGTGAGTAGATGAATTAAGAATTTTGTACTGTGATTTGTATTCACTGCCCCAGTTCTCGACCCATCGAAGCCTTGCTGTTGTATGAATCCCTGTCGTGGTGAACACCACCCGGCTGGATCTCTGAACCCAGCAAGGGAATGGTGTGATTTTGTCATCTGTAGCATGGCGTCGCGTGGTGCGGATGTTCAGACCATGAATTACTGTCACTGTAATTGCACTTGTCTGTCTTGGCTTTGCCGTGTGACTTGGAAAGCAGCTAGCATTGTCCCTTGTCTGCTCAAGTTACATACAATCTCTATGCATTGATCTGAGACTCACTGATGGCTTGGGGAGGGGACACAGAACGGAATGTCCACATCTGAGGCTTGTCTCCCTCCGTTCAGACCTCTTAACTGTTGCCTGTGTACACAATGTGCCCTGATTTCTGGCCCACTGGCCACAGTACTGTGCCTGATCCGTGTGCTGTGCTTGTTTTCCCAGGCCACAAACTAAGTGTTCATAACTAGGTGAATTGTAAACTAGTAACATTGGATGCTTTTAAATGTTCGCTCCTTTTTAAACAAAAACTAAAACCCAGAACTGAATTTTGAGGTGGATTTTTAAATAAAAAAAAAAAAAAGATTGAGTTTGGTGTGTGAACTCTTTTGTAATTTTCTGTGAATAAGTAACGTGTCAAGAAAATGCGTACGAGGGATGGAGAGATGATTCAGTGGTTATGAGCACCGGCTGCTCTTACATAGGACTGGGATGCAAGCTGAGCATCTCTGTACACTCACAGCTGTCTGTCATTCTAGTTCCAGGGAATCTGACAGCCTCTTCCAGCCTCCAGGCACTGCACACATGGGCACAGGCTTACATGTAGGCAAAGCACCCATACACATGTTCTTAAAGTAAATTTAAAACTTGTCATTGTTGTTGATAAGTACATATTCTCTTTTGAATATGTACACGGATGAATATTACATGGATGAATATGTACACAGATGAATGTTACATGGATGAATATGTACATGGATAAATGTGTACACGGATGAATATGTACACGGATGAATGTTACATGGATGTATAGGTACATGGATGAATGTGTACACGGATGAATATTACATGGATGAATGTGTGCACGGATGAATATGTACATGGATGAATGTGTGCACGGATGAATATTACATGGATGAATGTGTGCACGGATGAATATGTACATGGATGGATATGTACATGGCAGGTAGAGGGCGAGAGAGATGGCCTAAAGGTTAGAGCACTTGTTGCTCTTGCAGAGAACCAGGGTTTGATCCCAAGTATCTACATGGTAGTTCACAGCCATCCATAACTCTGGTTCTAGAGGACCCAGTGCCCTCTTCTGACTTCCTTTGGCATCAGGCATGCAAAGTGATGCAAGAAAAGAAAGGAAACCCATGGCTCATCCTACTCCTAGGTATCTGAATATAGTTAACCACATTACTGGGAGCCCAGAGAGGCTCACAACCTTGAATTTTTGCACGTTCTGAAACAGAACTACCAAATGACTGAGATGCACCTAAACTCTCAAACCATGAAATAGGTGTGGAAGATAGGAGAGGGTGTTGTGTGGAAGATGAATGTATTTTTAGATTTCAAATACAATAATACATGATTAATCCAAAAGCAAAACCTTTCTTTGAAGCCGCATGTCAGGAACCTAGTAGAGTGCTCACCTGGAATGTGCAAACCCTTGGCTTCAGTCCCCAGCTCTGCATAAATGGGCCAGCTGGGCATAGTAGCACACACATAATCCAGCATTCGGGAGGTGGAAGCGGGAACTGAAAAGATTAAAGCCAGCCTGGGCTACACTGAGCCCTTGTCTCAAAGCCATCTTTCCTGTGGCTGGAGAGATGACTAGCAGCCAAGAACACTGGTTATTTTTCCAGTGGATCAGGGTTCGATTCCCAGTACCCACATGTCAGCCCACAGCTGTGTGTAACTCCAGTCCTGGATACGGCACACATGTAATGCACAGACATATGTGCATGTAGAACACACGTACATATGAAAATAGTTTAGATCATCTGACCAGTAGGTTTCAAAACAGTTATGAAACTCTCCATAGCTTTTCAGAAAGTGCTGCTTTTGTAGATGTACAGCATTCTGTTTTGCAAACATGTTATTATGCTGGGATATAGCTTAGTGGCAGGCCATGAGCTTCATAAGCTGGCCCAGTTCACAGTTTTAAAACACAGAAGCAGTTGTGTTAGGGAGGCCCTTTGCTGTCATAGATGAGACGTATTAAACTTCGTAGTAGTAGTTTGACTTATGAGACAGTTACTGTGAAGCAGACTTTTCCAAGTCCTTTTCAGCATCAGGCACCTAAAATATTTATGTTACTCAAATACATAGAGCCAGAAAAAAAATTTTTTTCACTGTTGTGTTTAAATTATCTCTGGAGAACTTGATGTGTTGAAATTGTTTATAAAGACATGAGGAACTAGTTTATGTCTAAGCTTAGGGTTTTTTGTGTGTGCCATTAGGAAAACATTTGTTTCTGCAAAGATAATCACAAACATAAGTTAAAACACAAACATCTTCACATAGACGTGGTAACATTTGTCTGCAGTCCCTGCACTCAGGAGGCAGAAGCAGGTGGATCTCTGTGAGTTCGAGGCCAGCTTGGTCTACAGAGTGAATTCCAGGACAGTCACGGCTACACAGTGAAATCCTGTCTTCAAAAACTAGCACAGAGTTGGAGAGTCAGTTCAGTGGCTGAGAGCACCTGTTCTCACAGAGGACCCAAGTTCAGATGCCAGCACCCACATGGTGGTTTCACAGCCTCCTTTAATTCCAGTGCCAGGTGATCTGTGCCCACTTCTGACCTCTGTGTGGAGATCAGGCATACATGTAACAAACAGACATACATATCGACAAAATAAATATACACATAAATAAATATTAAAAACAACAACAAAAATCCCCCACAGATTTCATAAGGATCTCTAGAGGTAGTTAAAGTCACAATACAGTCAATTCAAAGATGAGAGGTAATAAGAGAATTACTTTTCTCTTATATTTGATACTGCCTTGCTTTTATCCCTTGTTTTACAAAGCTGTAAGGTCTGACAAAGATTTGGATGTCAAAGCATAGTTCTGCTTCCAAAAACTGAAATTCAAACAGAAATGAAGCTTTTAACCCACAGAAGTAATTGTTCACTAAGCTGCAAAAAATGTTTTTCATCGGCATTCTATACATTTCTACTGTGAAAATTTTAAAGAATTCTATAAAGTTAAGAGTGTCTTTGTGCACATACATATGCATATATACACATGTACATATTCATAAATATATGTGTGTATATAGTATTTGTTTAACCATGAAATAATTTGATATAGAAATGCTGCTATATTTGTACATTAAAGTGAAAATTTTCTGAATTATTTATGTTAGAGTATTTTTGCTTTTATTTTTGTTTTTCAAGACGGGGTTTCTCTATGTAGCCTTGGCTATCCTAGAACTTGCTACATAGACCAGACTGGCCTCAAACTCTCAAAGATCTGCCTGCCCCTACCTCCCTTGTGCTGGGATTAAAGATGTGTGCCACCTTGCCAGTTATCCATGTTTAAACCGAACACTAGTGTTTGCCTTTCTTTTTTGTTTTGTTTGGGGGACTTCTTGAAACAGGACCCACTGTGTCAGCCAGGCTGGCCTCTATACATGCTTCTTTTGCCCTCACCTTCGGAGTGCTGGGATGCCAGATGTGCACGGCTGTCCTCAACTAGTGGGAAGTTCTCTGCTTTTCCTTTTTACTTAATATTTAGTTATTTTTAATTTTTTAAAAGTATTTTGCAGAAATGCTACTTTATGCATGTACACTATGTTATAAATGGTGGTTGTGATTCTGTTTATCGAATCCATTCTGCTCAAATGCATGAATAGTTTGAATAACTGTGGAATCTTTGGCACTGTAGAAACATCGAGCTGTCTGTGCCTTCCCTGACTCTTAGAGCAGTGGTTCTCAACTGATGTGTCATGACCCCTTTGGGGGTCAAACGATCCTTTCAGAGAGGTCGCCTAAGACTATTGGAAAGCACATTTACACCATAATTCATAAGAGTAGCAAAAATAGACTTATGAACTAGCAATGAAAATAACTGTATGGTTGAAGATCACCACAATACAAGGAATGGCATTAGAGGGTCGCAGCATCGGGAAGAGTGGAACCACCGTCTTAGAGTCAATCTGATTGGTTTTGTCCTCCCCTCACAAGTACAATAATCAGGTCCCAAACAGAAGCAGTGCATTAGCCAACCCAACAGAGTGCATAGAGCAAGAAAGAGACATATTCAAGGATGACATTTATATCGATTTTATATAAGATTTTATAATACTTTAAGGGTTAATGACATAGGCCAGTGGTTGAACGGTTATGTAATGTGGTGGCTTGATTGAGAGTATTCCCTATATGTCCATATGTTTGATGCTTAGCTACTAGTGAGTAGATCTGTTTGGGAAGGAGTAGGCCGTGTGGCCTTGTGGGAGGAAGTGTATCCCTGTGCATGGGCCCAGTGTCTCCCTTTTCTGCCTGCTGCCTGTGGGCAGGATGTAAAGTTCTCAGGTACTGTCCCAGTGCCATGACTGTCTGCTCCCTGCCACCATGATGGACTGACCCTCAGAAAGTGTAAGCAAACCCTAGTTAAATGGCTTCTTTTATAACAGTGGCCTGTCAACTGTGTTCCGTGGTGTCCTTCACAGAACAGTAACGACGACACCTAGTAGGTTCCTGATCCTAAGTTCAGCACCCAGTACTACACAACCAACTAACAAAACAAAACTCAGCTACGAAGTGCCAAACCACGGTGTAGGCGGATGCTGTAGACACAGTGACTTGACATGATGGAACCCATTGTCACCTGACTGCAGCCATGGTTCATGATTCTTCTACACTGGCTTACATATTACTACAACTTCAAACATGTAGTTCATCGTCTCCAGACTTTCTTCAGAGTCAATATCATCTGTTACAGATCTCAACAGACCCCTTAGTCAAGGGATTAGCACACTTCCTTCACTTGGAAAGGACAGTTTTGTGAGATCCAGTGACCTAAACTGATGGCTGGTAGTCTTCCTGAATTACAATCCCAAGATCACAAGTCTAACTTATTTCCTTCAGTATCACAATCTATGTATCTCTCTGTGGGCCACACACCACACACACACACACACACACACACACACACACACACACCTGTATTTGCAGCTGTCACTCATGATTCACTTTAAACATTCTAAGTTAATAATTCTAAATTTCTGGTAATGCCCCCCCATACTGAGAACTTGTGGAGTCCTGGACACACTGCATCATGAAGCTGAGAACCCTTCCATGTGTGACAAGCAGTAATTTCAAAATTATTGGAAATGTATTAATCCTTGTGTCTATGTTTTGTTTTTTCTCTCCTAGACTTAGTCTTGGTGAATTTCTGGAACTCTTCACTGACCGTGAACTGTGCTTCCACTTCTGCTGGCTATAACTTTTGTCTTCCAGGAATCACTGACTTGATGTCTCCAGTGATATAAAACGGTATTCTAAGAATACAGGTTTGTTACTGAGCAGGGTGCAGCTTCCTATGAGTACAGAATTCTTTGCTAAATTTT